TCATCCTAAAACTTCACCGCATCGATGCCGGAGCTCGGACCCACAAGAAAATCCCCGTTTTCCATCGAAGCGCAGCAAAACGAAGCGCCCGCGCGTGATGCCTTATTTAGCGTTTCCCAAACAGCTCCTGAAAACTCATTAAAAATGTCATTTCTCGATGAGCTCTGCCGTAGGCTGGAGCCGGGGACCTGGCTCAGCTGCCCCGCTCGGCTCGGCTTTAATCCCGAATAGAGCTCGGCTTTGGAGGGCGATGCTTAAAGCATCCTTGTGTGGCAGTTAGGAGATAAAATTAAACTAATGCTTTTACGTTTATAATTGCGATTGGTTTGCAGTGTAGCTAGGGGGAAGAGGTACACTTTTTTTTTTTTTCCTTCTTCATCGTATGTTGAAGAAGAATATACCTTATGTGAATGGGGGGGCTTAGTTATCACTCATAAAGCTGATGGTGTAACTCAAAGGTGGTGTTTGCTCTTGTTTAAGCACCACGTAACGACTTCTCGGGATCCATACGGAAAAGGAGATGAATTCCAATGAACCCAGGGCCGGCTCTGAACGGCGGTGTGCCCGAGGAGGTGGTGTGATTCAGAGCAATGAGTAACTTGGGAGAATGAGCTTTGCCTTCCTCCCCGGCTCCTGGGATGGATTTTCCTCGGGGCGGGGGAGGTATATGACAGTCATATTTTTTTCTGTGCTCCGACATGGATTCATCTCAGGGTTTGAAATCCTGCAAGGGTTTTGGTTTGGTTTGGAAGTCTCCTCCTCGGCGGGTCTCGGCGTTCCTCTCCCGTTGGGGCTGAGGGACCCTCGCTGCCTGCTGCACGGCTTTTCGTTTTCCGCGGAGGAGGAATGACGCCAGTCCGGCGGATGCGCCGATGGGATGTCGGCGCTCACCGGGGTCATGCTCCAGGTCAGGGGGTCCCAGGGCTGAGCCGAAGGCGTCTGGCTCTGCCTCCTGCCCCGGCACGAGCTTCTCCGTCTGCGGGAGAGCTGAGCCGCTGCCTGGGAGAGGCAGCTGAAGCCCAACCCGGCCTTTCTGCCAGGTGTTTGGGCGCTGGGCTCGTACAGCAGTAGAAGTCCTCGGTGGGTTTGGTTTCGTAATACCTTGTTGACATTTTTTAGCCTTTGGCTGGGTTAGTTTTCTGCAGGAACATCTCGCTCTGCGTTAGGGACTGAGACCTGCTCGGCACCGAGGGTGCGGGTGGTCTGGCGGCGGTGGGTGGGTTTGTCACCGAGAGCTGTCCTCCAAAAGCACCCGAGCTTTCTGTCAGTTAACGTAGGCGCTCGCTCTGTTCTCTGTGTAGGCAAAGGTGTTTTAAAAGGAAGAGATTCAGGTTTTAGATGTTGCAGTTTCTCCTGCTTTTTATTTTCCTTGTGTGGCTGCTAGGAAAGCTCTTGGGCACTTTAAAAGAAGCGGGTTTGACCTCTTGGCAGTCTAATCTTTAAGAATTAATATTTAGACTTTTTGCGTTTAGTCAGAGTTAAGTCTATGATAAAGATGTGATTTAACTTGTGTGAGCGAGAGTAGCTTTTTTTTTTCTAATAAGATACTAAAGCTGCTGCGTTGAACACAACGTTGTTTAAAATACAGTATTTGAAATTTAGGTGTTACACTGGAATTTGCTCTTCCAGAGCAAATCTCGTCCGATTTGTGTTTATTCCCCGCTTGCAGTAGTGCTGCCTGATAGTGAAATAGCAGTGCCATCAAATGAAGAGCTTGAGAAGCGTGTGGTTGGGATTATCAAGTTTATCACGTTGGGGGTTGTTTGGGATGGTCTTAGCTGCAGTTGGTTGGAGGGCAAAAAGCTGCTTAATACCCATCTAGATGTTGTGCAGAAGCGTTAATCTTTAAACGGTAACGTCTTGGAAAAGTTTACTGAGGCATTACATTAAAAAAAAATAAAAATCTTTCATTTATCTAGTTAAAAGCGGAGACAAAGGTTTAGTCCGGCTGGTCCCCGAGGGCAGCTGGCACCCCGTGCTGGGGAACCAGCCCTCCCTGTTTACTGTTGGGTTATAAATGGGTCAGGAGGACACATCTCCTCCCAAGCGCCTCTGTCCAACAGATTCCAGTTCCTAAGAGGAATGGCCATGGTCAACGGTTAAATGTGTGTCAGGGTGCGGGGAGAGGGCTGTTGGGAGGGAAGAAGAGTAGTATCGTAGAAATACCAGAGAAATATGGTGAAATATTTGTTAAGGGAGCAGGAAGATTGGAGGATGATCCCTTTGCTCTGTCTCAGGAGTGTCAGGCAAATTAATTGGATAATGTGTGGGTGGCATTTTGGAGAAGCAAATTAATAGCCCTTTTATTGCTGGGACAATTTCCACAGAAACATTTAGCGAAAAGTTTGCTTCTTTGAACCCCCTTCATAAATTACAGCAGCAAGGTCCTTCGGGTTTGTGGGTGAGAGAGCTCCTGGTGTAAGCAGCCCATTGCTGTATTTTTCCTATAAATCAGAAATCTATTTTCTACTTTCTAAACCTGAACTTATTATTTAATTACAAACCCTCTGTTATGTTTGTGGATCCACTCCCTTTTTTTTTTTCTTTTTTCCTGCTTCCGGGGAAAGAAAAAAAAGGGACTTTCAGAAATCCATGGAAGAGGCAGTGCAGCCTGGGCAGATCTTGGCGTGGGGAAGGATGTCTGACTCCTCACGCCACCGCCCACACGCAGATCGGGTTCAGGTGGCTTAAGGTGCATAATTGGATTAAATTGGATTAGATGGAGGGAAGAGGAAGCTTCACTTATGAACAATGATCTCTCAGTGGTGAAATTTTTTCCTCTGTGGGGGAGAGCTAGAGCGTTGCGGTAGGAGCCTCTTGATGTGGGTTGATAAAACCCTGGAGAAGGTGGGATGGAGAGAAACTGCTGCGCAGTGATTGCAGGCAGGGAATAAACAGGCCAAAAAAAACCGCAACAAAAAAAGGCATTCTGGTGTTTTAAATGCATGGATTTCTCCTGCTACGGTTCTATAAAGTGTAGTTTCTTTTAGTGGGTTTTTCCCCCCCAGTTTCCAGTATGCTTGAAAGTAAAACAAAGTTAAGATGAATTATTTTTCCATTTCTTCATTGTCTAGGTACCAGTGGAGCAGGAGAAATGGGGGACTTGAAGCCACCCTAAAAGTTGGGTGGGAGAATGGTTAGTGCTGGAATCGTGGAGGTGCTCGGTTTCTTCTGCAAAGATTAGATTGGAGCAGTGATGGAATGAGACTCTAATATTTTAAATGTATTGGAGAAGGCTTTAAGTTCTAGTCTTTGCTTGGAGCCTGTAGCCTGCGAAGGTGTCGTAGGAGGGTTCTGCCTTTCCTCCTAAACAGCGGCGGCAGTGCCCCACCGCTGGCCACCTCTTGGTTTTTCTCTGGAGATGTTAGATCGGTGTGATATGTTCTCCAGAGGTTTTGAAGGACTCTGAGCTCCCTTCTGTGCACGCTCCCCATAATTTGAGTTCTGAGGTAATGGAGGGTGTCAAAGTGTATGGAGCGGTGGGTAGTGTTGAACTCATTTTCTTCTGTTTTTGCAGAGATGCTGCAGTTTGTCAGTAACCAAGCAGGGGACTTTCCAGATCTGTTTTCGGATCACTTGTGTGGCACCTTCCAGGGCGGCGGCAGCAGCGGTGGGACCCTGGAGCCGCAGTTGCAGGGGCCGTACAACCAGGTGCAGCTGCAGCCCTTCTCGCCGCCCCCCGCATCCCCCCAGCTCCAGAGCCTGCCGGTCAAAGCAGCACAGGCAGCACCTCCGGCCCCTCCGCGGTCGGCCCCTCTCCTCCAGCCCCGGCCCCCGCTCCAACCTCAGCTCCAGCAGCAAGCCGTGATGATCACGCCGACGTTCAGCTCTGCTCCCCAGACCAGGATTATCCAGCAGCCGGTGATCTACCAGAATGCGGCCACGAGTTTCCAAGGTAGCTGTCGGGGTGCTCAGGCTACGGGTGTGCGTGGAGCACTCATGATTTTGGGGTGCTCAGGCTATGAGTGTGTCTGGTGCACTCACAATAAATGGTGTCAGTGTTCAAACTCCAAAAGCATCCTTGGCTATGACAAGCCTGATGATCCTTTTCTTGTGGTGCTGCCTGTGGGGTGTCTCTTCTGCCTGCCTGCGTGGCTTTGGAGTTGGGGGGGAGCGTGAGAAGCCATCATAAGTAGGATCTTAAGTCTTTTTGTGCGGTCTCTTGCGACAGTTGTCGTCTTGCTGCTCTCCTCTGTTATGGCCTTCTCTCTTACGGCTCTTGGGAGGCTTGGGAAAAGTATGTCTTAAAAATGGTTGTCAGCAACCCTGTCCCCCCACTGATGGGTGCAGTAGGCTGATCCAGTCCTGAAGCTCCAGTCTGTCCCGTGTGGCAGTCCGGAATGAAGGCACGTTTTAACTACCGCACTCTTGAGTGCAGTATTGCACTGAGCAGAGACGCTTGTAGGGGTATTTAATGATGACCGGATCTTCCTTCTGAATGCCAGTTGTCTTGATGATCTTCAGTAGGTGTTGATTCTTTACGTGATAAATAGGATTCTAGGGTCCACCAAGATCAGCAGCAGTGGGCAAGTGCTGGTTGGATGTACTGGGTAATGTCACTGAAGTAATGAGTCCAGTGCTGTCAGACCAAAGGTTTTTGACTTATTTTGTCTTAGCTGGGCCTCTGTGCCTCCTGGAAAGCTGCTATTCTAGGTGCAGTGTCCTCTTGCAGGAGGCACCAAAGGAGCTGGAAGCTTCCCAACACGTGGGATGTGTTAGATGAACGCTGCCTGCCGAGAAGCTCTGGGAAGAAGTGAAGCTAGGAGCGTTTGCAGACTCCAGAACGGAGACCTATTTCTCTGGACTATTCCTGACACCTCTTCTGCTTTTCAGTTCTCCAGCCTCAAGTCCAGAGCCTGGTGACATCCTCCCAGGTTCAGCCAGTTACCATCCAGCAGCAAGTGCAGACTGTGCAGGCCCAGCGGGTGCTGACGCAGGCTGCCAGTGGCACCATCCAGACATTAACGCCAGCCACGGTCCAGACAGTTGCTGCACCACAGGTCCAGCAAGTTCCAGTAAGTAAAAATGCGGAGTGATACAGGGATCCAGCAGAAGAAGAAATTGCTTTTGTGGGTCTGGTCTCTTGGTTTGCTGGGGGAAAGGTGGTGAAGCTTGTAGGGCTGGTGGTCCTGGCTGGGATTGCTTTTGCACAAACGTTTTTGTGTGAGAGGTATTTCTAGCCAGCCTGTGTTCCAGAAGCATTTTACTTTGCGCAAGTCATGCGTGAGAATCTCTGTTGTGAGCCGTGGTGTGCCTTCAAGTAGTGGGCAATGTTCAGAAACTGTTTTCACTAAAACACCTGCATAATTAAACTCGGTCTACAATATTTTTGTAACTTGGTGCTGCTAAACCGGGTTGGAAACCTTACTTGAACAAACTTTCTTTGACTTTTGCATGATGCTTTGCAAGTTCACCACCTCTACCGTGTCATTTAAGGACTGGCTGATACCAGGATGTTTTCTTCCAATTCTTCTGCCACAGTTTCTTTGATCTTTTTGCTGCTGCAGTGGCATGTGATTTTGTTTTAAAACATACGCAAGTGAAAAAGCCTTGTGTGTCTTTGTATTAGATAAAAACATTTATGGCTAGAGGACTCTTGATATGACAAAGCTGCTCTGGTTCAGTTGTACTGTGCCATCTGTAGTGTTCTCTGTATTTGAGAGTCAACGAGGTATTTGGAAAAAAAATAAGAGCAAGCTGTGTTATGGCAAAATAACTTACAGTTGGTTTTGATCTGCTTGATATTCCTGCTACAGATCCTTTCAGGGAAATTGGAAGCGGGGAAGCTACTACAGGTATTTGCCAAAGCAGGCTGTCCTAGCCATGTTAGGCTCCGAGAACTCGACCAGTTAATGTAGAGAGCTAATTATAGGTGTAATTGGAGAGGGGAAGGGAGCTTTTCCATCAGCTCTCTTGTGTTTTTACATACTTGTTTACTTCTGGTGACTGATTTGAAAACCAATGTCCTGGTGATTCCTCTGTTGCCCTCCCTCCAGCGCTGTTCAGACTGTCTTGTGGTCAGAGTTTGCATCAGGGACTGACGAAACCCATCCAGATGATGCAGGGCACAAGGTGAAAGACATGCTCACCCTGCTCTTTTGCCACCCACCGAGATGTAAAGTTACAATTCTGTCACGTATATGTGACATGTATGAGAAATATATACCTACTCTGCCCTTCACCTGTAACTTTTCAACCTAGGTTCTGGTCCAACCTCAGATCATAAAAACGGACTCCCTTGTCTTGACGACCCTGAAAACGGACGGTAATCCCGTTATGGCCACAGTACAGAACCCAGCGCTGACAGCGCTCACTGCTCCCATTCAGACCACAGCTCTGCAGGTACCGTATGGGTGGTGTTCTTCCTTCCCTCTCCTCACTGACGTCCTTTCCTCTTAACGCAGGGAAGAGATTTGGACTTTAGTATTCTGCAGTGGTGCAAACAGGAGGGGTTTTGAGGGCTGCTCTAGACACATCCGGAGTGAGTAATACCCTGATTCTGCCAAGGCTAAACACACAGATTGTACTTTTTTTGGCAGCCTCCCATGGCCAGTAAGCAAAGACCAAGGGCACGTTTCTGTTTACCTTTTTCTGGTATTACAAGGAGAGGAATATGACCTAAAAATTCCATCCAGTTTTTAACCTCTGGAAGATACTTGAAACTGAAAGCTAACTCAGAATACCCGTGGAACTTTCTTTTTCCCCCTCAGTAGTGTCTCATAGCAGCATGTTGCGTGTGAAAACTAATTAAGCTACTTTTCAGAGGAGAGGGCATTTGCAGGGCATCATTGGAGATGGCAGCTGTGCTTCATGGCCTCCACTTCTTATCGACTCTGAAAGGCTTGTGCCCCCAAAGACACATTTATTATGATCCTGTACATTCTGAACAGATATCTTTGTTCAAATATTTACTGGGGGAGATAAATTTGCAAGTGTGGACTTAAGTTTTGACTTCTTTTGCATAGCACAGTAGGCTTCTTATGTACTTGTTAGCAGCCAGGCTAAAATTTTCAGTTAAGCTGCTTGCTTTTAGATGACATTTTCGCACAGAGGTGAGGCTTATGTGATTGTGTCTGTCTGAGACACAATCCGTAAAGCATTTTGAACACATTGAAATTTGGTGGAAATTGGTCAAGAAAAGGTCTAGTACTGGAATTCACTTATTTGTCAAGTTCCAGCTTGAAATGAAACTAAATTAATTTCTAATATCTCAATTAGAAGTCTCTTTCAGAGCTGAAATTGTTCCTGAAGTTGCTCATGGCTAGTTTATTCTCACTTATGTTAATCTGTCTTTTGAGAGAAGTAACTCTTCCCCTCCGTAACCACTTCCCTGATCCTCGGTGTACTTTAGAGAGCATGTGTACCCTTCTCAACCTTGTTTTGCTGGGTTAAGCAGTCTAAACTTTCTTTACTCCAACTGTCCTAGAAGCCCCTCTGTGCAACTGTTCCGGTTTTATCACCTTTTATCGCAGAGTACATACTGCTTTGGTGTAGATGGTCTGTCCTACATCTAGATGTCCAAGTTTGAGCATTTCATGCCAGTGTATATCACTCATTGCTCATCCTAAGGCATTTTTATAGCTTACAGATCTACTTTTTTCCATTTAATCAAATTCAAATCAACTGCATTGCTCAAGCCAAGGTTTGTTTTTCCGTAGTCAGGTCCTTTCTGACACTGCTGTTCCCAGTTTGGAAGTAGCATTGCCTGTTGCTGATTTGATGACTTTATTTGTCTGCAGAAAAGGTGGATTTGGACGCTTGGGTTGTAAGGATTGTAGGAGCAAGGAGGAGCCTTGGTCTGTTTCTCTGGCTAGTGGATGAGCAGAGCATAGTATTGGTGGAAGAGTGTTGATGCTCTTGGAGAACAGGAGATGTTCTTACTCCACAGCGACCAATGTGGGAGGCAGAGTGGCAGATTTTTCCTGTGCTGCTCTGCCGATGCTTGTGCCAGCTAAGGAAGACGTGAGGAAATTGGCATATCTCTTCTTTTCTGGCCTGTACAAACTTTCCCTGATTCTTCTTTTGTTTACTCTTTTTACCGTCATAAACCTTATCTAAATTGGCTGATTGCTCATGACACTTGTTACGCATGGTCATTCTAGACCCTCGTTGGGAGCAATGGGACCATTTTGACCACAATGCCGGTGATGGTGGGACAAGAAAAGGTGCCTATCAAACAAGTTCCTGGGGGTGTCAAGCAACCAGAACCACCTAAGGAAGGAGAGAGGAGAACAACTCACAACATCATTGAAAAGCGTTACCGGTCATCCATAAATGACAAGATCATTGAGCTGAAGGACCTTGTCATGGGGACAGATGCCAAGGTAAAGATGTGGAATAAGAGCAAATCTAGTGTCATAAAGACTTTGTCTTGAGGTGCTTGTTGCTCTACCAAATGAACTGCGACTCTTAGTAGTATGCACACATGTATTGGGATAAGACTGGTGAAAAACACTTGTGCGACAGAAAGCTCGATAATTGTATTCAGGAAGGATCGCCTATAAAAGTGTTCATTTTACTTTGCTATTGGTACTGTTTCTTGAAAATAAGCTATACCTTATGTGTTTGTTCTTATGTTAGATCTAACTTAAATAGATTCTGCCTCTAGGTAGAATATCCAAGTGGATGTTTTGATAACTCTGCCAAACCAGAGCTTGCTTAATTGAAGTTTCCTTTTCTGTGTGACTGCAGTAGGGATGAGGGTTTCCAGAGCTTTCCAGTTTATTTCCTTTAGATATTGCCTTGTAAAAAGTCCTGCTTGCTCAAATATTAGAAGCTTTCTCGCACCACGCGTTCAGGGTTGTCCTATTCATTTTACTTCATGCTGGCAGAGCAGGGAGTAGTACTCTTGATACTTTGCGTGGTCTCTGTACAAATACGTGTGCTAGCGAAGTCACCTATTGCTAGGTGGAATCGGAAGCTTAAGTTTTAAAAACATCGGTAATGTGCAGTGGCTTTATGGTACTTTGGGCTTGTGTTTACAAGCTAAACTTGACTGCTGCTGCTGGAAGCAAGTATTTTCATGGGGACGTCCAGGAGAGTGAGGCAAGGAGAGAACCACTTATCTCAAAATTAAACAGTGAACAATGGTTAACAGACAGCAGCTTGTTCTATCCCAGAAGAGTCACTTCATTTCAAAACTACGGTACTCTCAAAGGACTGTTTCTGGCTGAAACATAGATGTGAACTCCACTGGAATTTGGATGTTAATCTGTTTCCATTGTACTATTTTTATAAGATCTTTGAGAAACCCCAGTTCTTCTATGTCTTTCAAAGTCTGATACCTTGCCCAGAGTGTGCCCCACTATTAGTTTCTTTGCAGCTGCTGAACGGTCCTTTACACCCTTTTTTTTTTTTCTATCACCACACGATACAAAGCGTTGTGGTATCCCTACAAACAAGAGTAAC